GGCGGCGGCGGCGGCAGCGGCGGCGGCGGCGGCGGCCTGGGCCACCGAGGCAGAAACAACCAGAGCTCGGCGCTTTTTCTAGGAAACTCTGCCAAGCCCTTGTGGCGCCTGGAGACTTGTTACCCCCAGGGTGCCTCCTCGGGCCAGTGCTTCACGGTGGAGAGTGCGGACACCGTGTGCGCCAGGAACTGGAGTCAGGGGGTGGCGGCCCGGGGCGCCGAGCGGCAGGGGAGGGGGCCGCACCCAACGCCGCTCTGGAACTTGGCGGATTTTTACCTTTCGTTTTGTAATTCCTACACACTCTGGGAGTTGTTCTCGGGGTTGTCCAGTCCCAACACTTTGAACTGTAGTCTGGATGTGGTGCTCAAGGAGGGCGGCGAGATGACCACTTGCAGGCAGTGCGTCGAGGCTTACCAAGACTACGACCACCACGCTCAGGAGAAATACGAAGAGTTTGAAAGCGTGCTGCATAAATACTTGCAGTCGGAGGAGTACTCGGTGAAGTCGTGTCCTGAGGACTGTAAGGTAGGCACAGTGCGGTTTTATCCCTGCTCCTTTCCACCTGCGCTCCTCAGCTCGGGTGTCGCCGGGACTTTCAAGTAGTTTTGTGGCTTCCAGGAGCGTGGGCTTGCTGCCAGAGATGGGCATAGCTGCGGGCTGGTGCTTCCTTCTGGGGGTCTCGGGCAGAGCAGGGCTGACCTGGTCCTCGGGGAGAATGTCGTGTGTGCTCTCCTGGTCTCGCAGAGCTGTGCCCTTTTGTAATCAGTGGAAGTTGAATGCGTCTGGCCAGGGAGACAGTGGTGGGACTGCCTGCCGATGACCCCAGCTACAATCTGAAGGGTCGGAGCTGGGCGTGCGTGGTTTGGCTTGTGGGCCTGCAGGTGTGCACTCTGTGATGGTGAAGCTGGCCAGGAAAAGTGTTGGTAGTTGTTTATGGAGAATATGTGAGAAAGCACTTTACCTGTTCCACAGGGACGGTTCTGGCTGTTTGGAAACTCTGGCGACTCTCCTGGCCACATTTACTCACCCTGAGTTTCTTCTTTCCTCTTGTATAGTTATTGATCTGAGAGTGACTTGAAGTGGGAAGTTTTAATCAAGTTTCTGGTGATCAGTGATGGGGTGAGGTTGTTTGTCAGACATCTTATGTAATGAGCTTGAATATTCAGAAGTACTAAATGGCAAGTGGTTGGTACTAGGGATAAGAAAATGCTGCACTGCCCGGCAACTCATACCCCACCCCTTCCTCTTGAATATGTAATGGCTACAACTCTAGTTGAGTGACAGAGGCAACCTCGAGGCAAGTTTCTCCGGAAATGGCCAATCCAACCTCAGGCAGGAAGCCTAGAGGAGGTGCCGCTGTCCGTGGTGCTGAAACGAGATTGCCCAAGGGCTCTGTTGTAAATGAAGATGCTGCAGTGACCTTTCAGTAGGGAAGAAAGGATGACTGGATCTCAATTAGTGTTTTGTTCCAAGGGTGCTTTCCCAAACAGCACAATCAAAAGAAACAACCCATCCTGTGCTCTCTCTTCCCTTCTCTCCCACACCCCACACTGGAACTGAAATGTCCCTCTTTTGGCCCAGCTGCTTTGTACTGGGGGAGTGTAATCAAGGGCAGCGTGAATCAAAGGGCTTTGTGATACTTTGACAAGAAAATCTAAAGAATATCTTTAAAATGAACATACTCCAAAGGCTGTATTTGAATTTGGGTTAACTAGTTCTGTGCCTTTGATAATTAAGGTAAACACAAACTAATCTTGCTTTGTCGACATTATTTAAGACCAGGAACAGATCATTGCAAATAAAATTAAAAAGTTTGTGGTCTTCATTTAGAATGCTGTTTCACTAGATAAATGGACCTTAAAATTTCCCCCCTTGTTTTCCTTAGCCAAACCATTCTACCTTATGCTGGAGAATTAAACTTATTCTTAATGGTAGAAGTTAATGATGAGTGATTAGTACATTGATTGCATAGTCACTTATTTTAACAAGACACGTTGCATCATAGTTGTAGAGATATGGAAATCAATGTATGTGATGAACCCTCCATCAATAAAAACATTGCTAAGGCTCAGAATATTAATGTCAAAAAGTGGTTTCCTGTAGTATAGAATTTGCATGTTTCCCTGAATGTAATCTTGCATAGAAATTTCTAGGATCAATATTTAAAAGATAATTCGTATTGTCCATAGATTGCAGTGTATTTTTCAAATAAGCATCTCAAGCATTTGTCTGTTCCGATGTCTGCATTTTAAATAGGTTTAATTTTTTGTTTTCTCTTAACCTGCAAAGTTTCCACTTTTTATCATAATAGCTGTAAGGTATAATGCAGTTAAAATAAACTTATAATCTGATGAACTAATTCTGCAATCTGTTTTTGTAGATGTTAGCTGTATATGCTAAAGGCATATTATAAAAAAACCTTGTCCTGTTTAGAAAAATGTGTATTCACATTGAAAATTAAATACAAACTTTTTAGTTTTTCATCAGAAAAATACAGACTTTTATCTGTGACTGCTGGTGGTCAGTTCTTGGTTGTGGGATTATTTTTTTTAGTTTGGTCATTGAAACCTTAATTCTAAAATATTACAATATTTTATTACAATATTACTGTTTGCAAATATTACATTTTCAACTGTTAGGTTTCTGATTTCTTGATTCATAACTTACATATTGTTAGGTTAGCTCCTTGCTTTAAGATAAAACATCTTTTACGGTTCTGAAAAAGCCAGAGACACATACACATGCAACACCATAGCACCTACCTTAAAATGCTACTTTAGTGTTTTTGAATTTTTTCTGAGCACTTTTATTTACTTCAACAGTATTTATGATTTTGACTATAAAAGTTCACTGTCATTAAAAGCTTTGCTTCGGATACATATTCTATTCAGTTTTTCATATTTTAAGGTGGCTACTAAATCCTAGAACTACATTAAAAGTAAATGCATTATATTTCTGGACATGGCCACTCATTTATGGAAAAAATCTAATTTCCATAGCTTATACACACACACACACATTTATTAAAAATAATGGCAGGAGGCTATATTTAGTCACGTGAGCTATGCAAATTACCAGAGCTCATACTTTAGAATACTTTAGAAGTAGAGTAGCTTTGTTACTCTCATGGGTCCATGTATTATTAAATAGTTAATGCAGCGATTTCTAACTTTGAAAACTAAGGACATAGTATATTCTACTGGTAGTTTTTAAATCCCAACCATTTTAGAGACATACCACACTACAACTATGTATAACATTGAAATGGGTTAAATCTCACTTTTATTTAAATTGTTTTAGGCAACCTTGGACATATTGTGCGAAATGCACAGTGCTGGGCGCGCGCGCACACACAATAAAACACAATAAAACACAATAAAACACAATAAAACACAATAAAACACACATCCTTCATGCTGCTCTAACTCACCCATAGTATCTCGGACCCACAGTCATTAGAGATCAAATGCAACTTGGACACTGTAGTGAGACACTGTTTTGCAGTGCGCAACAGACATCAGTTGAACACGAGCATTTTCTAGTATTCTAATATTTCTAATATTTTCCATTATTCTGATATTTATTAGTATTTTTTAATACTCTAGTATTTCTAATATTTATTTCCCTAAACACTAAATATAGTTATTTATTGAAAAATAAAGCATCAGAACTGTTTCATATGCTATTTCTTCTATTGCTTTCCAGTTGCTGTATTACATGAATCAGTAGCTCCGTTATAATAATTTTGCTCTGCAGTTTGCAGTGACTCAAAATAATATTTTTGACATATGAGAATCTGACAGACCTGCGAAAATCGTCAAGTTGACTGGCAATGTGAAATGTTTTTAATATTCTAAGCTATTAAATTACCATTATTGACAAACTTGACATTTAAAGATATTTTTCTTAAATATGCCACCATTAGGCTCCTAAGCATTATAAAATCGTCGCTTATAAATGGGGACATTTAGGACATATACAGGTCTTTTGCTGTAGGTAAACTTCGTGTCACTGATGGTTTATTTACTTACTGTACCTTCAGAGAGATCGGGGCAGCGGGTTTGATACTAGATTCTAACATAAATTGTTGATTATCTGGACTTTAGCTCCTGGGGAACAAATTCGAATTTCTCTATTTCCAGAAATACACCCTCTCAGTTTTGTTTTCATAGTCTCGCATTAAAGCAGATCCTGTTGACAGTTTCTCCTTAGCAGATGCTGAACAAGGGGCTGCTTTGCCAGTGGCAGGTGTTAACGGCAGCGGCGGCTCTGGGGCTTCTGTCTGGCTTACAGGAGCTGCTCCAAATGTCCATCCTTTTAGGAACTTAGAATTTGGGTTATGTAATGTGCAATGTGAAAACGAAGGCTTGTCTTAAATTCCCATTCATTTCAGTGGCATACATTATATATAAGCTCTCAAAGAAATAGTTAATTTGAAAAGAAAATGAAATATCTGAACATACAGTATTATTTGCTTGGATTAAGTGTCACTGTGCACGCTGTGAGGAAGTCCAGAGCTGCACTGCACAGAGAGCTCACCTACATTCTGCCACTTGATTACTTTCAACTCGTATTTCCAAAGTTGAATCGCTTCTCTGCAAAACCAAACAATCTAACAGTGGGAACGATCCCTTTCATCACTAACAAGGCCATGCAGAGCGCCATCACTGCTTCAGGGTCCCTGTTTTATCATACTTTTGCTGCACATCTAACTGTGTTTGTCGTAAAAAACACCCAACACTTCATCATAGCACTGGTTGGCTTCATAGACTACAGGAGGCTTCTTTTTATTTTGGATTTGAAACTGGGTCAAACTAGTAGCTATCTAGGACATAACGGGGACATTTTAATAATGCTGCTATACATTGGTTTTAATCACGCGGTTGGGGTCTGTACACGCAGGGGTTACAGTCTAAAGAGGAGACAGTCAAGTTCTCATGCTCCTGCAAACATAAATCATAGTCCGTGAAGAGTTTTTGACAGGTTGAATAGACCAGAACAAATATACACTATTTTAAATAAAGGAAGATGTTTGGCTTGAAGTATCTGACCTACTGGTTTAATTTGAATTCCCAGTTTCCTTTTCAAATCTCGTCTTCTCTGCTGCCATCACACTGGTGAGGCCCCCACACGTTTCCTTGCATCTTTGATTGCTTCACAGGGCAAAGCTGTCTTCGCTCACCGTAAACACTTACCTTGGTGCAGTGACTCATGGGGTCACAGTGGAACACCCTGGGGATGCCGGAAGGTTTCCCTGTTGTCATGGGATTCCGATTTCATTGATGTGGCTGTGTCACGGGGCCATCTGGGTTCTCCGGTGATGCCCCTTCTCTGGTGAGGCCCCTGTCATCTTGGCTCCAGGTGACAGAGACAGCTCCTCTGCCTTGGGGAGCACTCGATAGTCCCCTGTGTTCAGCCGATGGCCGTGAGCTCAGACAAGTGTTGGAAAACAAGGTAAAAGCAATAGGCCCCCGGCGGAAGGTAGGGCGCTAACAGGCCCGACCTGGCGGGGGAGGGGCGGGTGG